CAGCATGACAATGACCCAAAACACACGGCCAAGACAACAAAGGAGTGGCTCGAGAAGAAGCACATTAAGGTCCAGGAGTGGCCTAGCCAGTCTCCAGACCTTAATCCCATTGAAAATCTGTGAAGGGAGCTGAAAGTTTGAGTTGCTAAATGTCAGCCACCAAACCTTAATGACTTGGTGAGGATCTGCCAAGAGGAATGGGCCAAAATCCCTCCTGAGATGTGTGCAAACCTGCTGGCCAACTACAGGAAACGTCTGACCTCTGTGATTGCCAACAAGAGATTTGCCACCAAGTTCTAAGTCATGTTTTGTGAAGGGGATCAAATACTTACTTCCCTCATGAACATGCAAATCAGTGCATCATTTGTTAGACATGCATTTCTTTTGAATTTTTTGTTCCTATTCTGTCTCTCAGCATTAGAATGCACCTACCATTCGATTTTTGGACTGACCATTCCTTTATGAGTAGGCAAACATTCAGTATCAGCAGGGGATCAAATACTTATTTCCTTCACTGTATATCAGAGGAACTGTGACAAAAAAATTTGTGATAAAACATATACAGTCAGGTCCATAAACATTGGGACATCGACACAATTCTAACATTTTTGGCTCTATACACCACCACAATGGATTTGAAATGAAACGAACAAGATGTGCTTTAACTGCAGACTGTCAGCTTTAATTTGAGGGTATTTACATCCAAATCAGGTGAACGGTGTAGGAATTACAACAGTTTGCATATGTGCCTCCCACTTGTTAAGGGACCAAAAGTAATGGGACAGAATAATAATCATAAATCAAACTTTCACTTTTTAATACTTGGTTGCAAATAGTTTGCAGTCAATTACACCCTGAAGTCTGGACATCACCTGACGCTGGGTTTTCATCCCTGGTGATGCTCTGCCAGGCCTCTACTGCAACTGCAACTGTCTTCAGTTCCTGCTTGTTCTTGGGGCATTTTCCCTTCAGTTTTGTCTTCAGCAAGTGAAATGCATGCTCAATCGGATTCAGGTCAGGTGATTGACTTGACCATTGCATAACATTCCAATTCTTTCCCTTAAAAAACTCTTTGGTTGCTTTTGCAGTATGCTTTGGGTCATTGTCCATCTGCACTGTGAAGCGGCGTCCAATGAGTTCTAAAGCATTTGGCTGAATATGAGCAGATAATATTGCCCGAAACACTTCAAAATTCATCCTGCTGCTTTTGTCAGCAGTTACATCATCAATAAATACAAGAGAACCAGTTCCATTGGCAGCCATACATGCCCCACGCCATGACACTACCACCACCATGCTTCGCTGATGAGGTGGTATGCTTAGGATCATGAGCAGTTCCTTTCCTTCTCCATACTCTTCTCTTCCCATCACTCTGGTACAAGTTGATCTTGGTCTCATCTGTCCATAGGATGTTGTTCCAGAACTGTGAAGGCTTTTTTAGATGTCATTTGGCAAACTCTAATCTGGCCTTCCTGTTTTTTGAGGCTCACCAATGGTTTACATCTTGTGGTGAACCCTCTGTATTCACTCTGGTGAAGTCTTCTCTTGATTGTTGACTTTGACACACATACACCTACCTCCTGGAGAGTGTTCTTGATCTGGCCAGCTGTTGTGAACGGTGTTTTCTTCACCAGGGAAAGAATTCTTCGGTCATCCACCACAGTTGTTTTCCCTAGTCTTCCGGGTCTTTTGGTGTTGCTGAGCTCACCGTTGCGTTCCTTCTTTTTAAGAATGTTCCAAACGGTTGTTTTGGCCACGCCTAATGTTTTTGCTATCTCCCTGACGGGTTTGTTTTTGTTTTTTCAGCCTAATGATGGCTTGCTTCACTGATAGTGACAGCTCTTTTGATCTCATCTTGAGAGTTGACAGCAACAGATTCCAAATGCAAATAACACACTTGAAATGAACTCTGGACCTTTTATCTGCTTATTGTAATTGGGATAATGAAAGAATAACACACACCTGGCCATGGAACAGCTGCGAAGCCAATTGTCCCATTTCTTTTGGTCCCTTAACAAGTGGGAGGCACATATGCAAACTGTTGTAATTCCTACACCGTTCACCTGATTTGAATGTAAATACCCTCAAATTAAAGCTGACAGTCTGCAGTTAAAGCATATCTTGTTCATTTCATTCCAAATCCATTGTGGCGGTGTATAGAGCCAAAAATGTTAGAATTGTGTCGATGTCCCAATATTTATGGACCTGACTGTATAACCATCTAATGGCACACGAAACAACAACAACAACAAAAAACCCAATGTGATGAGTAATAGTGAATATATCAAGAAATGAATAGTATTAAATGCATGTGAAAAATGACAAATACAAACGCATGGACACACGTGATTGGTCTTGCCACAAAAAAATAGTGAACACAAAATGGTGTAAAGTCCAAAAAAGCTTGGAAGATGTCCCCTCTTTTCCTGTTCTTGGGACATCCGAAAGAAAAACATGACAGGAGTTCTAATCCCTTTTCACTCTATCCAAAACCAGCATAATTCTCTCTATGCTTCAGTTATGAATGGACGCAGGAGCAATTGGTACTGATCACGAACTGTGTTCTTTCAGAAAAGCAAGGGGCCGGTAAATGACAGAAATGACATATTTACTAGCCCCTTCCCCGCTTTCCATCCTGAAACATCCCCTGCAGCAGCTGGCAGGAGCAGAGAGGAAGGCCAGCAATACTGGGGGGGGGGACAGGGGAGGACATAGGGGTCCTGGTCATCAGAGATGAGTAACCTGGACAGGTAGGGGCAGCATATACAAGAACTGATCCCATATATTTTCCTCCGTGCAGCTGCTGAATGCAGGTGGGAGGGAGGGGAGGAGGAGAAGGTTTTCAGCGGCTATAGAAGAAAAGTGGAGGGGATAATTTTGCTTTGTTTATTAAAAAGGTTCTTACGATAAAAGCCAAGGAAGCTTAGATCTTTGTAGTGTATTAATGTAATTTACTAAACAGAAAAGCTGCGCATACGACTGCAGGATACACAAATCATAGCATGGAAAGTATAACAAATTATGCCTACAAAATGTACAAGCTGGCTATCTTCCTAGCAAATAAGCACGTACAATATGTGTACAATAAGTATACTAAACAGCTACTCAACTTGAGCTCTCCTGGTGATGAAATCTTCTTATGGTTTCTTCAAAGTTCCCCCAACTGCAATAGGGTCCTGTATATGTTGCCCTCGCGTCCCCTCTTGTCCAGTTGTAAAATGGAATGGGACAGGGAGGCGGCACGGGCCCCCTGGAGCATGGGACCAGGCCGAAATTGTGACCACTGATGCTATGCTAGTGGTTACTATCCCTCCCACTACCACCAATGATGAGGCTCTATTCCTCCTCCTACATAGGTGATATACAATTTTTTTTACTCCCACTGACCACTGAGACTGAAGCATTGCTTAATTCCACTGACACTGGAGCATTTTTATCTCCAACTGGCCACCCTAAAGTCCAAAAGGACAGTATACTGGCCCTTTGTTTAGAAAGTTTGGAGACCCCGGTCTAAATCATATGATCATACAAGCGAATGTGTTGTCATACACTTTACAGCATTTGTAAATAGACCAGTAGATCGCTGGTACCATGCGGGTCTCCCTTTGACCTGTCTCTGCTTCCTCCTACATCCCATACAAAAAAGCAGATACCTACTGACAGGAAGACGCAATAAACTACCGCGACACTCCACAGCACAGTGGTGGTTCATTGACATCTACAAACATTATATAATTTCTGAAAGCAGACAGTCTAGAGAATAACATAGCGGTAGTTTACATTTTTTATGAAACACAATATTACCGCAAAGGTCTAGGAAATGCAAAATTTCAGTAAAAAACACACTAAAGTTAATTTTAGGGCACACAAACGCAATAAATTACCCATTTTTTTTTTGTAAAATATAAACAATGAGGTTGCATCGAGTAAACAGACACCCAACAAGTCAAACCTAAATTTGTGTGCGCCTGTGAAATTACGACAAACCTCAGTATCCTCTATTTTCTATAGGCCATGCTTTACAAGCAAGGTCATCAGTTTAGTGTTACAGAGGGGGTCTGCTGCTATAATTATTGCTCTCACTCCGGCGTGCGTGGCGATATTTAACGTGTATTGCAATCAACATTTTCATGGGTAGGCGCCCCTGATGGGTGCGTTTGTTTTTAAGTGCTTATATGTGGGGATGGGGGGGCCTCAAATTTTTTTTTTTCGGGGAGGGAATTTTATGTACTTGGGTGTAATTAAATTTTTTACAATTTAAAAAAATTATTTTTTTAATTAACTTTTTTTTATCACATCTGGGACAAAAAGTCCCTTGTGTGATGATTTTTTGATGACAGATTCTCTTTAATGAGACATCCAAAAAACAAATTGGAAAACAACTATTTTATAGAAGTGATATAGCAAACTCAAAGCCATTCGTTTAGGATTTACTTTTATTTTAAGTTAGTTACCTAAAATCTGCTTTTTTCATCAATTTATACACTAGCCAGCTAGTCTAGCGAGCTTCAGACTGAGCAAATAAAGAGCTGAGAACAGTTGAAGCTTGCTTTTAAAGTCTACGGAAAACACAGTTTTATTATTGACTGAAAGCGAAAGACTTGTGTTTGTTGAAGCATTGATTGAGGGAGCCCTGGCTCCAGCTTTACACCCCTCATGTTATGGGGAAGATTGAAAAACATCGGCAGTGGCATGTTCCATTGTACACAATAAAAAATGCATATTGTGATGGAACACCGCAGTCTTTGCCTCCATTGTGCTTAAAATGAATAACCAACTGTTGAAAAATCAATGGAGCACCATTTTGCGCGAGGAAAAACCATACATGAGTGAGGAGACACCATTTTAATGAGCTTTCTATTTGGCTTTTGAAATTAAATACTCTTGGTCTGAGGCATCTCACCATGGCCAACAGGTGTTTTTGGTGCCTTTGAGGGTTCTCCCTCGGGCCTGGTAGGGCTCGGTGTATGCCCCCCTAACCTGGGACTGCATTTACAACTTGGGACTTAGGAGGAGTATTGTGGACATCGATGGCAGAGAAAATGGATACATTTGAGGTCTCAAAGGTCCTGAGCAGGGGTGGACTGACAACTCATGGTGCCTCCGGGCAATAGGGGATCATGGGGCCCCTGTGTCCTTGCCCAAACTCAAAAAAGCCTATGATAAAGGTACCAGGGGCATCTCATGGGGCCCCCTACTGACCCCGGGCCCTCGAGCACTGCCCAATTTTCCAAATAGTCAGTCCGCCCCTGGTCCTGAGGAAGTGGGCAATCCTGAGAAATGTGTAGACTAATGTATTGACCTTATCCGCATTTCTTGTTTGAGCCCTGTATACGGGCTGACTATTTTATTGACCTCGCTGTACTTGTTATCTGATTTTAATGTTGTTTGTCAACGCCCTTCGGACATTTTTTAATATGGATTTTTGTAATAATAAAGTTCAGTATGTATTTTAATGTTTTTTTGTGTTCACTATTGGAGGCATAATGAGAGCCCCATTGATTTTTTTCAGTATTTGGTTTCTATGTCTGGGATGACACCTTCTTTGGTGTAATTTCAATATAGGATTCATTTGAGCATCCCACCTATTTTAGTGCTTAAATCCTTCACGCCTAAGGGTAAAACAAATCTTAACGCCTAAGCACAATTTTGCAACTTTGACATGTGTTAGTAAAACCATCCATATCATCACAACTACTTTGTACATCCAGGTGGATTATACCTTGTTTTTTTCAGGACAAGTTGGGCTTTCATTTGGAGGTAAATGGTTATGTATATCTCCTGATGTTTTTGTTATTATCAAAGGAAAACTGGCCCAAAATAGTAAAATAAAAATATTTTTTTTAAATTTAGCTGTGTGTTTCTTGTTACTACCATAACCTACCACCAAAGAACAACCAAAAATCAATTTTCCAGCTCTTGACGATCGCAGCAATACCATATGTATATGTTATCTGTTGTTTGTACCCACAGTACAGCCCAGAAACAATAGTGTGCATTTTGGGTTTTTTTAACCTAAAACACACTGACACTAACACCAATTTAAAAAAAAAAAAATCCTGACCTTTGACCCTGACCTTGACCCAAACACTAACCCTGGCACTGAACTGGATCAAACCTTGATCTAGGTATTTTTTCTTTATTTTTTCTCTTTTAATATTTATTTATCTTTGTTTTTTCTCTATGCAAGGAGAAAGAGAAAGAGATACAATGTATCTCTAACCTCCATTCAGAGAGAAAAAAAAAAATTGGGCAGGCTGTTCAGTGACTGATCACTGTGATAGCCAATCAGAGGCTATCACAATGATCAAGTGACCTGGAATCAGAAGTCCCGGGTCCCGATCATTAGAACAGGACCCAGGGCTCTCAATGGCACCCCAATCTTTGTGCTGGGACAGGTTCACAAATATGCGGCCCCATGGAAAAAAGGGCAGTTCTATGAGGCCCCATATTTGTATTATGTCGGCGTCAAGGGGTTAATATTAAACCCCCTATCGTGCTAGGTGGGCACCAGCTAACTACGCTTAAAAACGCTCCCTCCCCTTCCCAACACCTATTCTGACCAACCCGTGTAAGAAAAATCTTATACTTACCCATTTTTAGGCCATGACCATCTGGTCATGTGATCCAAATCCTCTGTGTCAGCCAGTCAGACTTTAGGGGAGAGGAGGAGCTCCGGCAATGGATGGGCCATAGTAAGCCTACGGTGACGTCACCACTCCAGGTTTTCCCAGACATTCTTAGAGCTCTCTTTCCTTTCCTCTGGACACAGGAGAGATCATGTGACCAGAGATGAGTATATACACAGATTAGTCAGCATAGGTGTTGGGGGGAGGGGGAGTGTTCTCAAGATTATTTTGTTGGTGTCTGGAAATCCACTTTAAGATAAATGGGGCCATGTTGGAATCACCAATGGATATGGTTGGGGCATGGCACAGTGGGTCATCATTTTGACGGTTAAAACACATGGTGAAGAGGCAACATATCACCTCTTCACTGCTTTTGAAACCCCCTACAGTCTCCAGGTCTCACAAGTTCCCCAGGGGGCAACGCTGATGAGGACTCTGATGTAAGGGGGGACTCTCATGGGGACACTGATGTAAGAGGAACGCTGAGGACCCTAATGTAAGGTTGGCAGCTCTGATGGGGACCATAATGTAAGGGCAAACTCTGATGTAAGGGGGCACTCTGATGGGGACTCTGATGTAAAAGGAACGCTGAGGACCCTAATGTAAGGTGGGGTCTGATGGGGACCATGATGTAAGTGGAAATTCTGATGTAAGGGGGCACTCTGATGGGGACTCTAATGTAAAGGGAACGCTAAGGACCCTAATGTAAGGTGGGCTCTGATGGGGACTATGATGTAAGGGGAAACTCTGATGTAAGGGGAACTCTGCTGTAAGGGGAGACTGTATCAGGGATCCTGATGTAAGGTGGGCTCTGATGGGGACCATAATGTAAGGGGAAAACTCTGATGTAAGGGGGCACTCTGATGCGGACTCTGATGTAAGGGGAACACTGAGGACCCTAATGTAAGGTGGGCTCTGATGGGGACCATAATGTAAGGGGAAACTCTGATGTAAGGGGGCACTCTGATGGGGACTCTGATGTAAGGGGAACACTGAGGACCCTAATGTAAGGTGGGCTCTGATGGGGACCATAATTTAAGGGGAAACTCTGATGTAAGGGGAACTCTGCTGTAAGGGGAGACTCTAACGGGGATCCTGATTTAAAAGGGGACTCTGATTAAAGGGCAACTCTGAGTGGGACTGTGATGGGGATACTGATGTATACAGGAATCTGATAAAAAGGGGGGGTCTCATAGGGACTCAAATATAAGGGAGACTGAGGTGTCACCCCTTTGATCTGCAGATGAATGTAAGTGAGGAAATACAAGGTAGCTGTAATTGTAATGTCACATTGGATTTATGAATCAGCTTCTGAATCAGTACAGGGTTTACAAACCCTGTTCAGAACCTATGTTTTTTACAGAAACCGCTCCAATCACTGCTGTAATACACAACTCCTGGCTGTCATTTTGACAGACAGTATTTATCAGGGAGTTTGGGGTGTACGGAAGGAGAGTTGGGTTTGAGCACCAGTGGGAAGGAAGGATAGGGCGTGCTACATATGTCCTCGGGAGTACCTAGCATGCCCAGTGTTGATAATTGGTTACCGAAAAGTGCCCAAAGTGTCCTTCATGGCAGGTCATAATGAAAATTTTCAAGAAGATAAAAAAAGAGACAATCTTTTTAAAGCAATGTGCAAAATGTAAAAATATTTTCCTATGGCTATCTTGTACCTGTTGCAGTAGGCCAACCTGCATGTAATATTGTAGCTGGTACAAGCTAACTAGTAAGATTTTGATTTATACACGCTCCAAAAATTGCATGTGTTTTATATTTGTGTGACCGTCTCCACCCACAGAAATACACATTTCTAATTAACTAAACTTCTCAAAATACTCAAAATATCACTGGCATTTTTGTCCAAAAACAGAACGGTAATTATTTATTAATGTTTTCATTTTTAATGTTAGCGAAATGTCAGGCTTTGAAATTATTTTAATTTTTACTGGAATAATAATTAAAATTTTACAGGAATGACATGTTTTTAACACCGCTACAGTGAAGCAAATTTATAAAATATGTAAAAAATGCATCACAAGCCATTACTCCAGAAAGGTGGCAAAATTATAAGCAGCAGTCTTCCAAAGGAATCTCTCCGCTAGGGAAAGGAAAACTGCCCCTGGCCACAAGTGCTTGGTAGAATAAAAGTCTTAAAATAGTAAAAAAAAAACTAAAAAAAACCCCAAAAAACAGCTGCATTTTTTAGACAGCAGCTAAAGCCGCAAAAAAAGCAATTTAAAAAACAGGAATAATTTAATTTTACTGTAAAAATAATATAAATTTTACTGGAATTACATGCATTTAACACCAACATAGCGTAGCAAATTAATGTCAAAATAATTATTAAAAATATACTGTATAACAAATAAAAAAAAAAATAAAAATAAAAAAGCACTCTCAAACTATTATACCAGAAAGGTGGCAATATCATAAGCAACAATTTTGCCAAAGGAATCCCTCAACTGGGTGTAACTGCCCTGGCTACAAGTACTTGGTAGAAATTAAGTCTTTAAATAGAACAAGAAATACTTAAAACAAAAAACATAAAAAACAACAACAACAGTGCAGCTGCATTTCTTGGAAAGCAGCACCAAATTTAGGTTTTTCTTTCATTTGCATTTGCAAAAAGTGGTTGAATTTTCTTTAATTTAAAAAACTCCATGTACGCTACTTTCTTCTCTGCACTATTTAGAGAGTGGAAGGTATAGAACAGTATATACAGGGTTTTCTGTAGCAGTAACGCAGTTCTGGCACCTCTAGCACTAAATGTATGTAATGGTACGGGGTCCTGGGGTGTGCTGGAGGGTCTATTAATGCTGGCTGCTGGGGGATCTATTGACACTGGAGGGAATCTATTTTTGTGTGGGGGTCTATCGTTGCTGGGGAGGTCTGCTGTTTCTGGTGGGGAATCTATTGTTGCTGGAGGGGTCTTATGTTGCTGGGGGGGGGTCACTTGCTGTTGGGAGGGATCCACTGTGGAGGGAGAGGTCTATTAATGCTGGCTGCTGTGAGATCTTACAGTATGTTGCTGCTGGGGCCTATTGTCGCTGGGGTGGTATTTTGTTATGGTGGATCCATTGTGGCTGTGGGGGGTCTATTGTTTTCGAGGGCATCTAATGTTGTTAGGGGTGTCTATTGTCAGGGCAGCCATCAGAAATCTTTGGTCCCTTACACAGCTTTAGACTTGGGCCCCTCGTCCTGACCACCAACATTCTTCAGGGCTGTCCAAACGGATCTGCCCACTGGCCACCCCACCAAGTCCTTCAGTTCACCCACTTTTATTTTATCACTCCTACAACTTAATATTTGAAAATGAAAAGTGTATTCAAAGTCATCAGTTCTTTCAAGATTTAACAGTAAGGAATTATATTTTTGGCCAAAAAATGTGAATTCTGCCACGACAACAAGGTAGACTGTTTTGAGCAGCACTCTACACTAACATTAACTGCA